CCTAAACTATTTCTGTTCTTATGTAACTCATGCGCAACTCTTGCATAACTGTTGTTCAACTTGTGTACTATATATAGCCGTTCACTCTCTTAAATAAAGATGAGAAGTGAGTGAGTAGAACCTCACAGGAAGTTCAGTCGAAGATGTATACAACCCGAGAGATATTGAAAATTATGCTGTTCGAAGAGGAAATAGATTCTGAAAATAAACTAATATTAATCGAATCACTAGGATTTGTCCGAATTGAATGAAATGATGTAAAACTAAGTCATAATCCTGATGGTTATGATCATGAAGGTATAAGGCGCATAAATGATGTAAAAATGAAACAAAACTATAATTCTGAAATGGCTTTATTTTTGTCCACATCACTTTAGTATTTAGGTGTTTTGCATAAAACAGAAAGTCAATCAATGGTCAAATACGAAATGTATTGATTAATCCATCAAGTGACATAGGAAAACACTTTAGTCAACTCTTCTAAAGAATTTCATCATCATCATCGTTTCGAATTAAGAATATCAAATTATTATATCATATAATTAATAAATCCTTAGAATAATTAATAAAAAGGAACCAAATAAATAATGAAATAATAATACAGCTTGATTCATATCAGTTATTTTTAATGTTAATGGGTATTGTCAATGGTATTTTGTTTCCAGATTACTAAATAGATTAAAAATCAATACAATAATTAATTTCTATTACAGATACAAACATTTGAGTAATTTACGAATTAGTAAAAATTTATTCAAACAATTCATAAATACAATAATTGATTACAAAAGTAATTCGTGTTATCGATAAAGTCAACTTTTCGGCCAAAAAATGCTCAACCATGTTTAGAACATATTCAAATGAAACAACCAATTTTATTCGAAAAAATTAAAAATGTTTACACACATGTTATATCCAAGTGGTCAAAAAATAATTGTACATCCCGAGATTATTCATTTTATTATTCATTTTTGGTTGTCGAAAAATAATTAGCAACATTACAAAAAATGAATGAAATACATTTATACCTAATAGCACAAAAGAGTTAAACACTTGTGTTAATAAGTGAATAACAATAATAACAATAATAACAAGTGTATAATATATAAGCACTTGTGTAATAAAGCAAAAACTATAAAATCTTATTTTGTTAAAACAAGCGTTCTATGGATGTGTGAAACAATTGAATTAGATGATGACGACAACAGACTATTAACAGTTCAATGGCTAAATTATTTTTGTAATCTATTGTATAAGCGTTATTGTCTACATTATTTTATGCATATGATAAATATTTTTGAACATTGTTCAGTAGAAGATATGGATAAAGCGTTCGTTATTAATTCTCCACGATTTAATTAAAGATTAAGATTAATTCTCCATTGATTTTACAGTTCGTCTGCAAAGATCAAGTTCGTGTGTTCGATCCTAGCTTCGTTCAAGGATTGATTTTGTGTTTAAGTTGTAGTTTAAGTTTCAGAATGATATAATGGGAATTTATATTCTCGATTTCGTTCTGGTTCAAGATTAAAGCTTAAACCAAACCAAACCAATTCTCCAAGGTGATGTTAATACATCAGATGATTATTGTAAAATAAATGCTCTTTATCCTATAAAAACAAATATTAATCAAATTAATAATGAACATGTTGAATTGTTCAATGATTGGCATCGTAACGTTAAAATTGAGGATATTGTTCAAGCTATGAATGCATGGACACAATTAAAGTCGATATAGTTTTCAGCAATTGAGAATGATTATTATTTTGAAGACCTTTTGCTTTTATTAAACAGTTTTGCATTATTAGATATGACCACGTTCACACTAGAAAAATTTCGGAGTTAACTGAAAATTAACTTCGAGAGCGTCGACATCTAAATCTTTCCCAAGCAAAAATTGCCCAGCGGATGTATCGGGTTGAATCCAATGCCACACAATGCAAATCTCAATGCCTTGAGAAGCCAGAAAATAGGCAAGTAAAGCTTTTGGGACACACTGTAGATATCTCCATATTTATCTAGATACAACGTGCGATGTCTCGATGGCTTTCTTTTTACGCATTTAGATGCATCGACCAGTGAATTGACGAATCTAGATACTTTGGGCGATACTCCATGCTTTTTTATGCTTGGGTTAATATACCAATAAGATTTTGACATTTCCTCTAAAATGTGCTGCTTCCTAGCTTCAGTATTCTCAAAGATTGCGGCTTCCTAACAACCAACCGGCTTGAATTTACGTTCTATAGTTGACTTTCTAAGCTCAAACAGAAAAATTGAGTAGAGAGTCAGATGTTTGTTTTCTCACAGAGCTTGCGCTACCTCCCGCGTCTAATGG